ATAATTTAAGTAAAAAAACTTGTGTAAATATATTTAAGAATTCGTTTATATCAATAAAAAAATCTATTATTACATAATTTGTGTTCTGTACTTTAAATAATTATTTCATTTTAATAATAAGGTTTGTTGGGGAAAAAACCATTTAGTGTGTACACGGTAAATATTTTTGAGTAAGCGGCAAAACCGATTTTGAGTGTGCAAACTCCCTGTAACTTTAAAATATGGTAAATATTTTTCTGAAACGAAGAATTCGTGGACAAAAATTGTGAAATCTCCCTGTAAAATGCTATACGGTAAATATTTTTATCTGAGGCGCGAATAGGTGGACAACGAGTGTGAAATCTCCCCGTAAAATGCTATACGGTAAATATTTTTATGTGAGGCGCGAATAGGTGGACAATAATTGTGAAATCTCCCCGTAAAATGCTATACGGTAAATATTTTTATGTGAGTCGCGAATAGGTGGACAACGAGTGTGAAATCTCCCCGTGATTTTCACCGCGGTAAAATAATTGTGTTCAACCGGGACATCCTGCATGATTGAACGTTGTGAAATTACCGTGGTGAAAAAAAAATAGACTGTGAACATACAAATGTTTTTTTAGCTATTTTAAATCACGATTATTATTTCTTAAATCGATTTTTATACAGGTTTTATACTTAATACATCTATACCTTCCTATCTAATTTATAATCATTAACTGCAATGATGTAGGTATAGGTAGTTGTTATAGGCAAACATAAATATTTTGGGTAGATATATATATTGTCGTATACGCCACGCAAAGGCTTGACGTATATAACAGATATGTTTCGGTTTCCGATTCTCTAACCGTCGAACGAGTAAATTATCGACACCTGCTGTATGAGTTTAATTTAATTTCTCCTTTTGGTGACCACGATAACGAGTACTGCGCAAAAGGATAATTAAATAAAAGTCCAGCAGGATTTACACTATACAACTCAAAGGTTATTTTACTCTCGAACAACTGACCACGATAACGAGTACTGAATGTTCGAGGGTGAGGTATCTTTTACCTAGACAAAGTCTTACTCTTTCTCGACTGACCACGATAACGAGTACTGGACGAGAAAGTAAGTACCACAGTGTCTTACTACCTGTTTTTAAAAGTGTTATTCACCACAACGTCTCTGTATCAACTCGTAAGATAAAATATTCTAAAAAAAGGCGTAAAGAAAAACGGTGACACTTGGTTTTTAAAAAAAAAGAATTAAATATAATAAAATATATCAAAAACAAATAATAAAAAGAAACGTAAAAATACTGCGGCTCGTTGGCTACTACAATAATCGAAACAAACAAAACAACAGCCCCGCTTCCGTCGCAGACGTCGCCTAAGTAGTCGTGGCAATTTTGCTGACTCGGTTTGATTGACTTTCTGCTTCGTATGTTATTTTAATATTTTATAATTTCGTTATATATACAACAATATTATCATACATTAAATAGGTAGGTACGTAAAAAATATTAAATTTTCTCCCGGACTTAAAAAAAATATATCTATACCCTTATACCTATCATCATTGTCAGTGCCGGCGCTGGGTATTGCAGGGCCCTGGACATAGGTAATAGAGGGCAAAATTCTAGCTTTTTTTAAATTAATGCTATTTTTATTTGAATTTTAAACATTAAAAATAATAATATCAGATTATTCATATCCCTTTTTTTTTTTTTATTAAAATGTATTAACAAAAAATTATTTACAAATAATAAAATAATATACATGTGTTGAAAATTATAATTTAATAAATTCGTGGGGGACTTATTATTTTATTAATTTATATTTATTTTAATAATCACCAAACATCAATTAAAAATAAATGAAATCATCAAAATGTTTGAATGATATAATAAATTGTTTAATATCTAAGTACGCGGTGGTAGACAATAAAATATGTTAAAACTAATCCTGATACACTAGCTAGATACGCAAGCAATAGGTAAATATTATTATTTAATACTGCTATACTGTATCTAAACTGAATTGTAATAATAATTTCATAAAATGAAAACTTACTTTTATGATATTATGCAGAAATTGTTGAAAAAATACTCTAAGGGGAAAAGCGGACTCAAATGTCGAACATATAATACTAGATAATCAAATAAATATTTTAAGAATATAGCTCTTGCCGCTTCTATAATACGGTCATACGACAATACGCGGAAAGCTTTTCCAAACAAAGAACAGAAAAACAATAACTATAAAGATAATAAATATTTATAATTATAATTATGGTTAGGTTACTCATTACTCTTACAGTCCTCGAGTATCGTCAAAATATTACTCCTTTGTCGTATCGATAACGATTTACTTTGTACTATGGCTAAATTTAGAAATCATTTTCCAAATAATTAATGATAGAAATAATATTAATATTAATATATTATACATGTGCAGTATAGTACAACAAATGTATAGATTTATAATTTGTTAATATAAAATGTCAATGTGTTTCACAGTATTAAGATGATATTAAAAATCGCGGGGCTCGTTAGAAACTAGAAAGCGAGGGGCACTGAACATATGTCCCATTTGTCCTCCCATAGAGCCGGCACTTATCATTGAGTATACGTACCTATATTGTACAACAATATATTATACTCAATGTTATCATTAATATTATTTTTCAAGACAAAACTTTTGGGACTGGACTCGAATTAGTACGTCACTAGTACCCCCCCCCCCCCCCCCGTACGAAATGCCAATAACTTTTGAAGGAGTAGAGCACTAACGGCCGGATGAATAACACACTGAAGGACTAACGAAGTATAAACGAATAAAAGATTTTTGGACCCAAAATTCGAAATCTAAATTAGCATGTCCTTAGAACCTACTGTAGGAAATTCAAATACAATTTAAGGGATGGAGCACTAACGACGGGATAAGAAGCACTAACGTGCACTAACGAAGCACAAACGAATGAAATTTGTTTGGGCCCGAAATTCGAAATGGGGGGTGCAGGCATGTCCCCAGCACCCCCCTGTACGAAATGCGAATAACTTTGGAACGGATAAAGCACTAACGACGGGATGAGAAGCACTAACGTGCACTAACGAAGCACAAACGAATGAAATTTGTTTGGGCCCGAAATTCGAAATGGGGGGTGCAGGCATGTCTCCAGCACCCCCCTGTACGAAATGCGAATAACTTTTAATCGGATAAAGCACTAACGACGGGATAAAAAGCACTAACGTGCACTAACGAAGCACAAACGATCGCCCTGGGTTTGGGCCCGAAATTCGAAATGGGGGGTGCAGGCATGTCTCCAGCACCCCCCTGTACGAAATGCGAATAACTTTGGATCGGATAAAGCACTAACGACGGGATAAAAAGCACTAACGTGCACTAACGAAGCACAAACGATCGCCCCGGGTTTGGACCCAAAAATCGCAATGGGGGGTGCCGGGGACATGGACCTGCCGAACGGTGTCTTTCGTCTGCTAGCTATGACGCTACTAATTTAATGTTCACGTACGGTGCGACAGAGTCGTCCGACCGACGTTTTATCTAAATTATCGATCTACCTGCTGTAGCGATAATATTATTGTATTGGCTCCAACATATATATATATATATATATACTATACATGAATACGTATTTAATTGCATCGAATATTTGAATTGACAGGATTCGTTATGTATGTCATAGGATAACTAACCGAAACGATTATTGTAACGATAATTTGTTACAAATCAAGATCACGTTTATTTTAACTGTTATTCTACTGAATGGACAAACTATGAATAGTAATTTAAAACATTATTTGTTTGATAGTGTTCCTATTTAATTAAATAGACAATAAATTTAGCTAAAACCTGCATAATATACATTATACAATGTACTATAATTCAACAGGCCGTGACACATATGATAGGTACGACGCTTATGTTGTGTAATTCTGAGATTTAATAAAAAATCCACCAGATGATTTTGTTTCTAATTTGGAAAATTTGATAGTGAAAACTGAATATATAGTAAACAAAATAATAATATGAGTGTATTCTTGAGATCTGTGTCATAGTGGTTATATTGTTTGACTGTTCAAATATAAACCACCGTCGTTGTAATACTCGAATTTCTATTTTTTTATTCAAACAGTTTAGTAAAATATTACAGTTACCTATATCATAATATTTTATTGATTCTTAAAGTTAATGTAATCGTAATATCTACAAATTTGTCTTGATTATAACATAAATTTATATGCACTAAAAAGTATCATAGTATGCCATTTAGAATCATGGAAACATGCATAACTAATTTGCAAAAATAAATTTAAGTTATAGAGAATTGAAACAAAAAAAGTGGGTCACATGTATTGGATGGATGGTATTAAATTTGAATTCAATGATATAATATCATTGCATAAGAAAAACGGTTCTGAGCGAAAACGGTTAGTCAGCCTATGATATTACAAAGTATATTTGATGATACTAAGGTGAATAAAATAATTTATATATAACTTATTTACGTGGACCCTTGTTTTAAACTTTCAACCCTTACCTATAAGATTTGAGCATTTTCTACATTTTTAATTACAAAATTATTGTTAAATTTTAAATGTGATACATTTTGTCAACATTTCATGTTCCTACCGTCATTTGTTTAAGAGTTGCACCAAAAACCAAAATCGATTTTTTTGAAAACAGGTTTTGTGTAATGATTCCCGTTTTTTATTAAAGTGTGAAAATTTAATGTAATGCTCCTGATATATTGTTACAATAGCAGTTGAAAAATATATAAAAATTACATAGGCACAATTTTAGATTCTGAGTGGAACGATGAATGTATTCATATCATTGAATTCAAATTTAATACCATCCATCATACAGTGACCCACTTGTAACCTACTGTACAGCAGAGCACCTTTTTTTGTTGTTGTTATATTATTATAATGTAGGTACCTACTTCGGTGCGCAGACAATATTGGTATCAACTAACTAGTATATAACGGTTCTGTTACAGTTCCTCCGATGTTGACCATTTCAAATCAACTGGTGGGTGGCTATATTGGTCAAGACATCAAGCTGGAATGTCACACCGAAGCGTTTCCAACTTCCATAAACTTTTGGACGACTGAAAAGGGCGACATGATCGTCTCGGGTAAGCAACGAGGTGACTGGATTGTGTAAAAAATGAACAAAAGTAGATATGACGGTTTCAGGAGAAAAATATGAGGCCATATCCACGGACAGCGGATACAACAAGTACATGATCCTGAAGATTAGGAAATTGTCGCCACAAGATTTCGGATCATACAAATGCGTGGCAAAGAATTCACTTGGCGAAACCGACGGATTCATCAAACTAGACCGTGAGCGTGTTTTACAGTTTTATTTGTACCTATAATTTATATTATTATTTGTTTGGACATTTATATCGTTCGAGTACTGTCGGCATAGAAAAGCAGTTTTCGTTTTGGAAATGTCATGATTATTTCATTAGATTATCGTATCGTATAATATATTTGCGTTTAGCTGTAGCAGTGGAGCACTACATTATTATTTTTAATTTAAATATATGGCCATAAAATTGGTTATTTTTTTTTTCGTATATTTTTGCTGTCTCATTATAGAAACTTAGGATAATATTATTACATTAAGAGAACGCTACCCATGCATTTGTTGTATCCGTCTTACACACTTACGACATAGCAAATTTTGGCTCACTAGTTTCAATAGTATGCTGTTATTTTTGATATTAGAGGGAATTGACCCATTTTTATATAATAACATTATCTGTGCTTGAGCGTTGGCTTTTATTCCATATTTTAATTTTCAAGCGAGATATGATCATTTTTAATTTTTGATATTTCACATACCCATATCTTGCTTGAAAATGATAATTTCGAAAAAATCGGCAAAGCTTAAGCACAGATAATATTGTTATCTAAAAGTTGTATAACAGGTCAATTCACTATTTCACTCTAGTATCAAAACTAACAGCACACTATTGAAACTAGTGAATGGAAATTTGCTATACCATTAGTGTGTAAGACGGAGACAACAAATGCATGGGTAGCGTCCTCATAAGTACCTACTTCAAAATATATGTGCTGCCCGGAACGCTCACCCTTATATTTCACTTTCTCAATCCCCTAAAACGCCGCTGCAGAATGCGTCACGTAATTTATTCGAAAAATCCGAGTTTACGTTTAAACATAAAAAGGTGGGTAAGTGGATGTCGCTCTGCTGTACAGTAGGTTACAAGTGGGTCACTGTATAATGGATGCTATTAAATTTGAATTCAATGATACAATATCATTGTATAAGAAAAACGATTCTGATCGAAGACGGTATGTCAGTCTAGGTTTAAGACAAATTATATACATATCTATGGTATTAAAAAAAATTGACCTATAATAAATTCCAAATTAATCATATCACATTATCACAATATCCATTAGGTACTTATAACACGTTATACATAAACATCAATAACAAACCCTGATACTATCATAGATATATAATAGTACACTTTAGAAGTTTCAAGTAGGTACCCACGAATAATATTATATAATCACAACAAAATAACTAGGTTTTTTAATATGTAATTTCGTTAAAATTTTAACATAAAATGACTATAAAAATAAACTGTGATTGTATATTTTTTAGATTTTTCTTTAAGAGAATTAACTACTTATGTGGAATCTTGTTTTTAATTTACAATCCTTAGCTATAAAAACTAAACATTTTATAATTTATTAATTACGATGATTAATAATTTTCGAGATTTTGAAAAATTCTGTCAAAATTCGATGTTTAAATGCTTATAAAAAAAAATTGTGCCTATGTATTTTTAATATTTTTCAACTAATATTGTAACAATATATCAGGAGCCTTGTATTACATTTTTACACTTTTTGGCACAACAGATAAAACTTTATTGATATTCATAGAAAAAAAAAATTGAAAGCTGTAAATGTCCGTAAACAGCTCAAAAGAGTCAAAATATTTTCGAAATCGTATGGTGTATAGGAAATGCTAATATAAAACTTCAGTGAAATTTTCATGTATCTATAGTTATTCATTTATGAATAACAACAAAATAAGGAGATCGCTACATGAAAAATCGACTGAACATCCAGTGTTGTAAAAATTTGAATTTCAAACGCTCATAAAAATTTAATTTGGCTGTCCGGTAGAGATTTTTTTATTGATAAAGGTAGACAAACTTATGCGTAACCTTGTATTACATTTTCAAATCTTAGTTATAAAAAGAAAAATTTTTACGAATTCTTAACTCAAAATAATTTGCTAATTTTCGTGATTTTTCCATATTTTGTCAATTTTTGAACTTTAAATGCTTATAAAAAAAAACTGTAACTAACGATTTTTAATATTTTTCATCTGCCTTTGAAACAATATACTAGGAGCCTTTTATTGAATTTTCAAGTTTTTTTAACCAACAAATAAAATTTTATTGATATTTCTAAAAAAAAAAAATGAAAAATGAAAATGTCCCTAAACAGTTCAAAATAAATCAAAATATTTTGAAAATGTTATCGTGTATAGAAAATGCAAATATAAACAACCAGTGAAAACTTCATGTATCTACGGTCATTTGTTTTAAAATTACACCAAAAACCAAATTCAATTTTCTGAAAAATCGATTTTGCTTTAAAATTCCCGTTTTTCCTTAATTTTTCTTTTGTTTTTCTTTGGCGATTTTGAAAAGTACTGGGTATTTTAAATTTTGACCTCCCCAATGCACCAACGATATTCACTTTCCAATCGAACAAGATACTGAAGTCGAAAATCGAAGCATTATTTCGACTACTTATCGTGTACACAGACACAAAAAAAAAATAAAAAAAAAAACACATCATTGTAAAATCAATAGATTCATCGTTCCACTCAGAATCTAACACCATTCAAAATGATAGAAAGATAGAAAGATAGAAAGATGATTCACAGGGCCAAAGCAGGTTATAAATGTTAGAGTCTATAAAAATATTTCTACTATACTTAAATTCTTAAAAAAAAAAATTGAAGCGGAGAGTTGGCACCCGCAGGCAAATGCGTTTTAGAAAACAAAAAAAAACATTAGAAGAAATTAAACAATAGGACCGAACATTAAAGAATTCAAACGAAAATGACCAGATTCTTAAACATATAACAAAAACAAAAAAAAAATTAAAAATTAAACAATAGGACCACACATGAAAGAGTTCAAACAAAAAGGTCCAGAAACTTAAAAGAAAAACTATTCAAAATGATAAAATCATTAAAGAAAGATGATTCATAGGGCCAATGCAGGTTATCAACGTTCAAGTCTAAACAAAATATTTAACTAGAGTTAAATAACTAAAAAAAAAAACTTGAAGGGGGATGTTGGCGCCCGCAGGCAAATGCGTTTTAGAAAACAAAAAAAAAAAAAATTAGAAATTAAACAATAGGACCACACATGAAAGAGTTCAAACAAAAAGGTCCAGAAACTTAACAGAAAAAACTATTCAAAATGATAAGATCATTAAAGAAAGATGATTCATAGGGCCAATGCAGGTTATCAACATTCAAGTCAAAAAAAAATATTGAACTAGAGTTAAACAACTAAAAAAAAAAAATTGAAGGGGGGTGTTGGCGCCCGAAGGCAAATGCGTTTTAGAAAACAAAAAAAAAAATTAGAAGAAATTAAACAATAGGCCACACATTAAAGTGTTCAAACTAAAATATCCAGATTCTTAAACAGATAACAAAAACAAAAAAAAAAATTAGAATATAAACAATAGGACCACACATAAAAGAGTTCAAACAAAAAGGTCCAGAAACTTAACAGAAAAAACTATTCAAAATGATAAGATCATTAAAGAAAGATGATTCATAGGGCCAATGCAGGTTATCAACGTTTAAGTCTAAACAAAATATTTAACTAGAGTTAAATAACTAAAAAAAAAAATTGAAGGGGGGTGTTGGCGCCCGAAGGCAAATGCGTTTTAGAGAACAAAAAAAAAAAATTAGAACAAATTAAACAATAGGACCACACATGAAAGAATTCAAACTAAAATGGCCAGATTCTTAAATTGATAACACTATTTAAAATAATTAGTGCAGGGTATCAATGTTCACATTTTAACAAAAAATTGAACTAGAGTTAAATAACTAAAAAAAAAAATTGAAGGGGGGTGTTGGCGCCCGAAGGCAAATGCGTTTTAGAAAACAAAAAAAAAAATTAGAAGAAATTAAACAATAGGACCACACATTAAAGAGTTCGATCTAAAATATCCAGATTCTTAAATAGATAACACCAAACAAAAAAAAAAAATAGAAGAAAATATTGAGCTATTTATATAAGCTATTATTGATATGTAGGTACTTCTTTTGAGTAGATAATTCGTTCAATGATATTTAAATATTTTCACCGATAATCAAGTACGATGGCTTGTAGGTAACTAGAGACTGAGTGAATAGGAATTATTAATTGTATGATGTGGCGAAGATAAGGAAAGAGGTCAACCGGATCGCAGAATGTTTAGCTTATGAAAGGGAAATGCGAAAAGGAAATGTAATTTTAGGTTAGGTTAGCGAAGTGTGTGTAGCAGATATGAGAATATTAAGTTAGGTGTTGAGGTACAAAGGAAGATAGAATAGGAAATTTATTAATTAAAGGTTGTGTAGTGTTGTGTTGTGGCATATATTGTAGTGAAAACAAGAGAGAACAGGTTTAGGTGGCTCCGTGACTGTATGATAAAATATAGTGAGAGTGGCTATAGAAGTTAGAGTCTGAAGAAAAGATGGATAGACAGAATACCGATCATATGGAGGTGTGGGATGAGAGTGGTTGAACCTGAACAGTTGTGAGAGAAGGGGGAAGAAAAAGGGTGAAGGTAGAATAGTTATGTTAACAATGCCGAATACGTAGTAAAGGATCTTGAATTGCAAAGGTCACTTGACTCTTTGGCTGAAACTACCGTTATCAGTTGATATAGGTTTACAACCTTGACTTATGGGATAGAATAAAAAAGATCGGTTGCCGGTTGGGATGTCAGCGCCATAGATATATACAACAACTAGATAGCCGTCTCCTTTTTGTCATCGAAGTCGACCCCCCATTTACAAAGCAGGCAATGTTTACAAAATAATATTATCATAGTAATTATAAATAAATGTAAACATTGCCTGCTTTATAAATGGCGGCCGATTTCAACATTGGTCACAACTGTAATATAAAGACGGCTATCTAGTTGTTGTATATATCTATATTCTATGGCGATGACATCCCAACCGGGAATTCGGGGGAGGGGGGACAAAAGGAGCAGTTGTTCCAAGCGGCAGGGACGGCCAAATAATTGGCAGGAATACGATTGAGAACGGT